TACCCTCCGTCTCTACTACCCTCCGTCACTACTACCCGCCGTCATTGCCTAATGTCACTACCCTTCGTCACTTCTACCCGCCGTCACTACCCACCGTCACTATCCGCCGTCACTACTACCTGTCGTCACTACCCTCCATCACTACTACCCACAATCACCACTACCCACCGTCATTGCCTGCCGTCACTACCCTCCGTCACTAGCACCCGCCGTAATTGCCTGCCGTCACTAGCACCCGTCGTCATTGCCGGCCGTCACTACCACCCGCCGTCATTGCCTGCCGTCACTACCACCCGTCGTCATTGCCTGCCGTCACTATCCTCCGTCGCTTCTACCCGGCGTCACTACTACCCTCCGTCATTGCCCGCCGTCACTACCCATCGTCATTGTCTGCCGTCACTACCCCCCCCCCCCCCCCCCCGCCCCCCGCCATCACTACTACCCTCCGTCATTGCCCGCTGTCACTACCCATCGTCATTGCCTGCAGTCACTTCCCTCCATCACTACTACCCATCTTCATTGCCTGCCGTCACTACTACCCGTCGTTACCACCTCCGTCACTTCCCTCCGTCACTACTACCCGCCGTCACTACACGTCGTCACTACTACCCACCGTCGTTGCTTACCGTAATCACACTCCGTCATTACTACCCGCCGATACTACTCTCCATCACTACTACCCTCCGTCATTGCCTGCCGTCACCACCCTCCGTCACTACCCGTCGTCATTGCCTGCTGTCAATACCCGCCGTGACTACTACCCACCGTCATTGTCTGTCATCAATACCCGCCGTCACTACTACCCACCGTCATTGCCTGCTGTCACTACCCGCCGTCATTGCCTACCGTCACTACCCTCAGTCACTACTACCCGCTGTCACTGCGCGCCGTGTAAATGAAGTTAAGAGGAACTTTGTGTCCAGATATGAAAAAAGCACAAAGCTTTGTTACCATATAGCTCTTTAAAGGTTGTGTCACATCCCTGGTGAAGCGAGGCTGTCAAACGTGAAAATTTAATCGGCGTTTTTTATGTAAGTATGGACACTGTTTGTCCACAATCGCGTCGAAGTCAAGTTTACTCTCACAAAGCATTGTGTATACATGAATGTAAAGTGGACAGTGTTTGATGTGGACATTGTCACACGATGTCTTTAAAAAAAATATGTTAATGACTTTGAATCAAATTCGACTTTACATATATCAGGACATTCATATGTATGACCTTACCAAAATATGTCACAACTCAAGATGTTAGGTATCCAGGCGGACAATACTTTCTACAATACCTCTTTGTCTACACAAGAGCAAATTTTGCCGTTTCGGATGGTGGTAATGACCTGGGATGTTAGAATATCAATACGTAGACAAAAGAGGTAACTTATTTAATCGTTTATCAAACTATCGGAGATCGTTTAGTATGAAATCCTCCTTATCAAACTGTGTGTGTTGTTGTTACCCAACACGAGATAGCAGAAGGCGACAGATTGGGACATATGTCCGTTCATTTTCTGAATGGATCCTTATGTATCTATTAGATTCCTTCTGATAAAGGAGATTTGATTTTCCCAGTCTGAATGTTTTCCGACACATTTCGAATCCCAGTCAAGCCCTATGTCATAGATGTTTATGTATTTAATGAATAAAAACAAGAAAATACCAAATATGAACAAAAACATAATCCAACTTCAAATTTAGTAGAGTTAGAGTAAAATGGAACAAAGATTTACACGGAGACACCTGTAAAAGTACATTGAGAATAAGACCAGGTGAGATGTTTGTTTGAACAGGTCGATGGTGCAATATATTGTATCGGATAATAATCTGCTGTAGAATTTAACATATAAACATACGGCGTCTTTTTCATACATTTTAAGTACTTATTACGTATCTACAGTGTTATCATTGTCATAACACAGAGTTCATATTTTCTGGTTAATATACGTTTATTGATTTATTAATTGACTGAAAGTTATGTTCGTTTCCATTGTAACGATCATCGTTTCCATGGTAACGAATGTATTGTGATTTGACATATCATTTCAGCTTTATTTTAACACGTGCATTACTTCCACATAATTGATTACCAATTTATCTTATATTCATACTTCACAGATATAGATAAATGTGTAAATAAGCGATTTTATGTGTTATAATAAACAGATTTATTTTACAATATTGAATGGCCGTTATATCTGTTGAAAATTGGAACTATATTTTGGCACGGAATAATTTGCGTTTAGCATCAGGCCAAATTCAGCGTAAAGCCATGATTGTCAGGTAAACAAAGACTGAACAATAAAAGGATGAAATTCGATCGTATGAATTTTCAGTCAATGTTGCGAGATAAACAGAATACATGGTTTGAATTATAGGCCGACTTTTGGCTCAGAACAGACCTACGAAAGTGGTTACCAATTTTTGTCTTTCTTCGCCCACTCTCAAATTCCGCTTATGTACTCTCACTGTAAATGAAACAGTCCCTTTGATCTGTCTTTTTCGCATTATCGCTATACTATCTGAGAGTCAAACGAAGGGGAATAACTTTTGAAGATAGGCTTTGTTGAAAGGTGAAATAAAATAACAGATGATTATATTTTTGTGTTTAACATGATCTTGAGCTTGTCAGTAGAAACAGGGTTCTAAGCTCGGTTTAAATAATACTGATTTAGTTGTGCACAGAACTGATTATAGTTACATGGTGATCTTTTTTATCAGGATGCAAAGTAAAAATACTGACGAATTTTATGAAATAGTGAAATACCCAATTCAAGGGGAATAACTCGATATATCTTGACATCTGCTCTTCACACTGCATCGTACACGTACAAATATATACAGAATGCGATTCGCGTCGTAAACCGATGATATCATCTGTTTGGTTGCATGGGTATACATTTGATAATCATTTGTGAAATCGAATGAAGAATAGGAAGTCACTGACTTTTCTGATTCGGTGAAGCGAGGAGCGGTGTAGTTAAGATTTACAATATATACGAGTGGCACCCTCCATCCTAATTTTTTACATCGAATAACTGCAGAAAATGGTTCCAGTAGATATATGGCTATACAAGAAATGGCTAACGTTTTTAGACTTGAAGTTCACAGAAAGGAAATGGATCCGACACTTTGAGAAATGGCTACTGACTAAAGGCTTGGAGTTGACCCTTAGAGAAATGGTTATTTATTTTGTGTTTTTAAGTGAAGAAGAAAACTGATTGTCGCATAAATAATGGTTTATTCGCCATTAAGAACAAACATTTCAATGAAGTCATAAACACTTTTACCCTGTGGTATATAATCACGTGTCACACTCAATCTCCAATTCCAGACAAAGTTACACATCACTTCGACAACATCACGATCAGTCGTAGTATAGTGTAATATACAAGTTCAAAACTCACAAAAACAGACGTCATTGGAGAACGTACGTCATCCTTACAATATACAGACGTCATCTCTCTCACAACATTATGACGTCATCTTACCAACGCACCACACTCACATCAATATAATGACGTCATGGCCAGACGTCGTACACACGTTCGACCCTAACAACACCATATTGATTTTATAGTAGAAGAAACATATCAACATTACAAAACCATCGTAATATTAACGTCCTATGCTCACAAAGCATTCAACTTCTCTCAATCTTCACTAGCATATGCATGCATTATAGCTCTCTGTAGCTAACCTCACTTCTGGACGTCATGTCGCACAATCAATGATCATGTCACACAGGTTTCGCATTTACAGGTATACATTTGTAAATGATGTTTGTTTTCATACTTACACATTCATCAATACGATTTAAAAAATGAATAAATACGCAGAACTCGCCAGCATACAGTAACGGCGTTGCTGTTTTCATTTTAATCATGATAAATGCCGAAAACCGCACACAAAGTCCACCATTTACTGTTTGGCCATCAGAAAAACTGACAATGGATGAAAAAACGAATATTACAGTGGAGTCTCTGACTTTGAAGCATTGTTATTACATGCAAGGAATGAATTGTATTTTATTATTTTACGCTGTACAAAGTTCAAAAGGTACCCAATATGTAAGGTTACAGGGTTGTGTGTCATTTCACATTCGTTAAATTTCGTTAATTGTTTGAATTTAAAACAAATACATCACCTTACAAAATGACGAAATTTTCAAAGACAAAAGATTTCAATCTAAACCTTTTGTTATTTTTAGAAAAATATCTTATTTATGATTATAAAAAGCTGAATAGCGTTGATGAACACACGAGTTACCTCCCTTGTGATAGGTTAACCTATATTTTCAGCCAAAAACCTAAGAAAAGACCAGATAAGATATGGATTACTCAATACGTCAGCTGGAAATCGTTAATTTCTATCGACTATCAATTAATAATACATTACACAAGTATGGAGAATAAGTCACGTGTTAATAGTGTTATATACATGTACTTTCACACCGTAGTCCTAACCCATCACGATTTCCCTATGACGTCACAGTATATGTTATTACTCTAAATTATTCTTTGATAGTTAAAACTTGGGTATTCAAAAGAAGAATGAGATGGACGCACTGATGATCAAACTCGTTTTTAACATGCAACAATTAGGCTATATAGAATGGACAGTAGCTGAGAACTAGTAGGAATTATATAAAGTGTGTAGTGACAGTACATGTCATTCTCATAAGAAGCCATGTAGACTATGGGAACTTGACAAGAAATTTCGAAGTTCAGTAATCATTTTTATATTTACGTGAATAATCATGATCGGACATGACAGCCAGATACACTTATATCATACCTATATGTTAACTTAAGGTTTATACACAGGATTCGGTATTGCTGCTCACAAATGATGATATAGCTTCCAAGGATTTCACAAAAACTCATCATGGGTATTGCAAATAAAATACATAGTAACGATAAGTTTGTGTCGTTGTGATGAGAGAAATGTTATTGTAACAAGGTTATTTAGGTATCATAATAAATCATATGAGAAATTCAAAAGATTTATTTCTTTTTCGGTCGCCATCCATTTATGAAATCTATAATTTTCTTAACATCTAGAGCATTGAGTTCTGGAAAGCCCTCCCTTAGAAGCTGCTTATCTAGAGAGCATAACAAACTTCCGTCTACTTGTTCGTTAGCCAGTCTTATCACCACCCTGTCCTTCATGCCGATGTAATGGAGAGACTTGGACACCTCGAGAACAGTCAAAGAGGAAAGGTCGTCAGGAGGAATCCAGTGGTCATCGTGATATTCGGAATATTCTTGATAACTGTATTCACTGTCACCATGGTAACCATAGTCTCCAGATATTGCGGAGTCGTCTGCGTGACGTGTTAATGGCTCGCTGAGACCGGAGATGGAAGCTGAACGCATGTAACGCTTGAATCCCGGCTCACTCTCCGTGTAAACGGAGGATCGCGCGTAATGCGAACTGTACGGATTCCGTTCAGTGCCCGAGCTGTACAATGAACTGGCGGTGGTTCCAGGTGGCATGCCTGTAGAAAGGTCATTATTGGTAAAAGTTCCATTATTACGGCTTAAGTCTTGAAAAGAATCACTGAAATTAAATACGTCCATAGCGTTTTTCATTTTACGAATATTATGACTACGAACAGTCGCATTGGCATCGAAATTTAAGCTTCTGTGAGAACGCGATCTGAACTTTGGCATTCCAGAGTTTGAACGGGTCTCCAGGCATTGGTCGTCAACGAATCTCATAGCACTTTCGTATGAAAACGTGTTAGGTTCGGAGGCTGAATCGGTGGTAACTGCTGGCCTACACTGTCCCAATGTATATGATCCATCTTTAGGAAACTTTTGCTCATTTTCTAAAGTATATCGAAAAAGTTCGTCGATTTCCTTTTCGTTAGTATCTTTCATATCTTTAGCATCATAACTGTAGTTACTTGGAATTTCACTTCGGGCTTTCCGTGCACGAACAAGTTTCGCCTCGCGATGTGGAGCCATCGGAGGTTTGTTGCGAACCGTAACATACGCTTGTTCCGCTCTCATTCGTAGCTGCGCTGGGCTCATATAACCATCTTCATCATCATCACCCTTGTCGCCTGACATTGCATGCACTGAATGTATCCTTTCGATGTTATCCGTCTCCGTCTCTCCTCCACTACACCCGAAATCTCCCGGATCAACAGGCGGGGGTTTAGGAGCTACGGGCAGCTCCTCATACAGAGCCTCCTTCTCCGATCCTGGACTTTTTGGTATAGGAGGAAGATCACGATTTTGTGGGCTTAGTGTTGATCCTGTGAACGTTCCGTAGGCCGGACCGTTAAAAGTAACACTTGTATAAGTCACTTTATCGTCCATGTCTGACGTAAGGGACGGTGGGAGATCCCCTTTATCTCGTTCGCCGGTATCTAGGTCATTTGCCTTTCCATCCTCTACGTCATCAGCGTCTGTCGCCGTGTCGATGTTAGTCATGTCCTCAAAGTTCGCTTCACTTTTACTAAGTCGCGATGTGAATACTCCCGCCACTTGTAATGCTTTCAGACTGGCTCGCTCTTTTCTTGTTTTAGACCTAACACTTAATTTATCGAATAGACCTACTTTGTTTTTCTTTTGTTCTTTCACTCTAACAGGGAGTTCTACCTCCTTCTTTTCCTCATTCACATACAAATGTTCTTCCTTGTCGACAAGCGGGTCTTCTTTTGGAGGTGTCTGCTTTTTAGATTTACGTTTCCTTGATATATCTTTTTGTAAATGTATATTAGCATCCAAAGGGAGTTCGAACACATCCTCCTCTACATTGGTGATAGGATACTTGCCGAACACGACCCACTCTGTGTCCCGCACTTCCTCAACTTTAACCATGCCGTGTGGCACTATATTAGGACATTCCTGATCTTCCTCGTGAATGAGTTGTGCTTTTACTGGTAAATGGAAGGCAAGTATTAAGTCTTGTAGTTCATATACACTGTCGAAGTTCTCTTCAGCCGTCTCCCCAATCGGACTGAAGACTCCAGACATGATTATAGGAATCATCACTTCAGTACCAGAAGTATCAAAACACTGCAAATACTTTAGGTCCTGCTCCTTTTTACCACTTCTGTTTGTCCGCAACAGTTTTTTGAAGAAACTTTTGACGTTGGCTCGGGTCTTTTTATGGTCCATGAAGATGATGCCCGTAGTGAGCACGGCACCTGGACGGATCTCGTACGGTACCCAGGAATTCACCCCAGACTCCGCGCTTAGCTGGTAGCCTACCGTGGCCGTTCGAACGAGAAACCGTCGCGGTTTGACGTTAGTGATTGCCTGGATAGAATCGAAGTACTCCACTGGCCGTCCATCCTCGGGCAGTACTTCAAACCAGCCTGGAACATATAAAATAATCAACAGTCAACACAGGTAACATGTCAAACAGGTATTCAACAAAACGAAACTCCTTTCTAATCATGGTCATACAGCGGAATATATATCAGGGGAGGTAACTCCTCTTACAAAAGTTGATGGTACTTAAATACACTAACAAGGGAGATAATGCCTGTAAATATCATAAGAAAAAATAACAAAAAAGCACAGAAGTATTTACATAACTAACAGTAAGAAATGATAATCAGTTTAGGCCTTCCAGTAACTCTTAGACAGTTCGATGGTTCTATTTACATTGAAAACAATGGTCAAGTTGTAAATACCGAAAAATCGTAAAATTATTTTATTGTTTAAACATAACATGAAATTAGTAATATTATACAGGGGAAAAATCGGGACTTAGCAAAAAATTCGAAACATCGAGAAATTCGAATCATCGAAGTTCGACTCATCGAAGTTTTACTGTACTATAATATTTGACACCATACGTTCACCGGGCCTCGCCCTTGATACCTGTACAATAAACAACATTTTAATAGCCCAAAGAAAATAGCGACAGTGATTAAACCTACTTAAAATTTGCCTTATTTACAATAGACTATACAGTTGTTGGTGACGTCTGAGCTCCTGATACTTACTGACAGAGCTCCGATTAGTTCCACTGAGTTGTATGATTGTATATATGTTTCTCATTAGGTGACATCTTATCCTGCCAGTTCACTTAGCCATTTAGATTTACATTCTACTTGTTATGACTATCAATGACAGTAAAACTAGCCAGCGTGATCCTGAACAAAGCGGACCAGTGTTCTATACAGACCGTGTAATGACTGTCCTTATCTCACGCAAGGTTCCAAACAATAGTCAAATAGTTTCTTAAATTTTATGTATCCCAAGATGGCATATTTTCGGATGGTATACTTATATGTACACATATCAAGATATCAAATCAGTGTTCAGATCCGAGTTTATCTAATTTACATGACTTGTTTTTGCTGATTCTTCTCGTTTCATATGTATTCATTTATATATCTATTTTCGAAACGGGATGCTAAATTAACCAGTCGATTCACGTTAGTGCATTTTTATATTTAAATAATACTACCAATTCTACTAGTACCTCTCCAAAATATCGCCCCTTCAACACAGATGCCAGCATTAAGCTTGTCAATTTTATGGATATTGCAGCAGACAACGTGATAATAAATAAATATCATTATAGCATACATAACTGCAACTTCACTGTTAGAACAGTGACAAATGACAAAGTTTTAAGTTTCCTTATCCTTGTCCTGTCAGGACCCAGCACCGTTTCCCCCGTCACCAACAGCTATGTAAATCAAATAATGAGTGCTGACAAATAGACTTTTAGCCATGTAAGGTGACGTCATACAATATTAGAGATACACACCTGTAAATATTCCAGGTGTGTGAATACACATTTCGGGGTAACATTACTAAATCTGTACACAATGACAGCGATACCTGTCCCACGACAGTTTTGTGAAGCAGTGACCCATTCTAATCATGCTACCGTCTATATTCAGCGGTTATGGAATAAAATTCGTGTGTTTTCCCATGATAACAACACACGTTTAAATAAAAACATACGCGGTCACATGATGCCGTTGGCATATACTTGTTCTATCCCATCCCTACCTATGTAATATCGATCTATCTGAAATGTAACCAGTTATCAATGGCAGCAGACACGCTATCTTAGTATACCTCTGAGTCTTACCTATGTATGCTGGTGACGAATATTACTGTCTATGCATATTACATGTATCAGCAAAACAGTTCTATCTTCCAAGTAAAGCTATACAGAATAAGTGAAGAAAACTAGTTGCCTAGATACGAGGAGAATGTTGACGTCATTAGTAGTCTTAATGACCTATTAATAAACATGTACTGTTAAATAGATTTACAAAATAAACATGGAGAAGTGTGAACCGTCGGAGACATCGATCTGATGACGACAAACTCTTATGTAATACTTGCGTTGAATTGTCAATCAATTCAAATGTTTACCTTGCTTGTCTGAATTTAATTAAATAATAGCCATATATGGGTAAATTAGTTAGGTCGGATTAAGTCGGATGACATTTACACGTCAAAGTCTGTTTTTTCGGCCTGGTCTCGGTGAACGAAAAAATTCCCAATTACAATAAAAAATAATGGTCGTTTTTTATGAAGAAGTGTGAATTTTTCTGGCGTTCTATCGATCTGGATTCGATGATCTCCTAGCCGATATATTAATGTCGACAGAAAGTCAGAATGATTTGGACTAATCATAAAGGTAAATATATCAAACAAACGAAAGTCAATGAAGTGAGAAAAAATATCGAAAAATGGCTTAATTCCAACATTGGCCAAGTTCCCGCGATAACAATGCACTTTTACAGAACCGATATCGACCTACACTTACTGTACACAGAAGATGTATACTTACTTTGTTTCTTCATCTTTACAGTAGTCTAACGCTAAACATATCAGTTGTCTGTACATCTGCATCTAATATGTAAAAGCTTCTTCATCAAGATCACTTCCTTCAGTCCTGTATGGTCACAAGTATACTTATCTAACAAAGTGCAAAGTTTTGTAACTTGTCTCTAAATGGTCGCCCATGGCATCAGATTACCTGTGATGAGACGTATCGTGTGATTAATGTGCTTGTAATGAATACACTAACGTTACTGAAGGACCGCAGGTCATACAGGGCGAGACTGATAATCTGTGTTGTGTGGACGCTTAAAGGAGTCTGAATGACGTCAGCAAGTCTTGGTTTGACCTACACATTGACTACTGGACAATGATAGTCTGGCTTATGTACCCCAGGAAATCATTACACGACCACTTCACCAAGAGGTAAAGCATACATTAAAAAGATGTGAAAAAGCCCTCAAACACCGTGGAAACGTCATTGACTAACCGAGATGAAACATGCTCACGGGATTAGAAACACTCGAGATGCACTGCATTTTTCGGAATGAAATTTACACTCTATTGTCATTGAATAAAAATAATTTACGATGTTTGCTGTAATTATATATTCTATGGTGAACTGTATTTCAAAAATCAGTGAATTCTTTGACATCCTGTTCAGCTAAAGTTGTCAGAAATAATTTGTCAACTTGGTCTAATTTTATTGGAAATCTTTATCATTACGACAGACGTGTCTCGTCATCGTTATTGAATATAAATATGTTTTATTGGACACGTGTTACTGTAATTATTCTCACTATCTCTTTGTGACTGTGTAGGCGACACAACACCACTAATATCATTTACAACATGTTACCTTGTCATGTCTACCTGTAGTAACGTCGCGAGAGACATCTGATTTAACGTCGCGTATTATACGAGAAAATTGAAATCAACAAAAGAAAGTAATAGAGTTTAAACAAAAACAGCATTTGTCACTGTTGGAACCGTTTACAATAGTTTACAATCAGCACAAAAAAGATCTCATAGTAATACAGCACTGACCTTGAGGATTGGCTACGGACAAAAGACAGAATGGTGATGACAGTACATATTGTTATCTTATAAATGAAAATATTACACAATACAATACATTAGTCAAACCATAAGAAGAACATAATGACATGATTGTCGAGGATGGACATTTGATATGTCTTTTCACGGATTCGGATATATCCTTTCGTAGATTTGAAATTATCTTTGTTGATTTATTTTCAGAAACACAATAAAATCTTATTTCTATTTATTGGTAATGAGCAAAATCCTTTACAATTTTGGTATTAATTGTAACTACTGGCATACCCAATACAACTACTGATGTACCCAACACAACTACTGCCGTACCCAACACAAGTACTGACGTACCCAACACAACTACTGCCGTACCCAACACAACTACTGATGTACCCAACACAACTACTGATGTACCCAACACAACTACTGCTTTACCCAACACAACTACTCATGTACCCAACACAACTACTGCCGTACCCAACACAACTACTGCTTTACCCAACACAACTACTGCTTTACCCAACACAACTACCCAACACAACTACTGCTGTACCCAACACAACTACTGTACCCAACACAACTACTGCCGTACCCAACACAACTACTGCTGTACCCAACAAAACTACTGCCGTACCCAACACAACTACTGCTTTACCCAACACAACTACTGCTTTACCCAACACAACTACTCATGTACCAAACACAACTACTGCCGTACCCAACACAACTACTGCCGTACCCAACACAACTACTGCCGTACCCAACACAACTACTGATGTACCCAACACAACTACTGCTTTACCCAACACAACTACTCATGTACCAAACACAACTACTGCCGTACCCAACACAAGTACTGACGTACCCAACACAACTACTGCCGTACCCAACACAAGTACTGACGTACCCAACACAACTACTGATGTACCCAACACAACTACTGATGTACCCAACACAACTACTGCCGTACCCAACACAACTACTGCTTTACCCAACACAACTACTCATGTACCCAACACAACTACTGCCGTACCCAACACAACTACTGCTTTACCCAACACAACTACTGATGTACCCAACACAACTACTGCCGTACCCAACACAACTACTGATGTACCCAACACAACTACTGCCGTACCCAACACAACTACTGATGTACCCAACACAACTACTGCCGTACCCAACACAACTACTGCCGTACCCAACACAACTACTGCCGTACCCAACACAACTACTGATGTACCCAACACAACTACTGCCGTACCCAACACAAACACACAACTACTGATGTACCCAACACCAACACACTACTGCTACTGCCGCTACTGATGTACCCAACACAACTACTGATGTACCCAACACAACTACTGCCGTACCCAACACAACTACTGCCGTACCCAACACAACTACTCATGTACCAAACACAACTACTGCCGTACCCAACACAACTACTGCTTTACCCAACACAACTACTGCTTTACCCAACACAACTACTGCCGTACCC